GCGATCCGTTTTTCAAGATGCTGAACCGTTCGTTGGCCACGTTCATGAATGCGATGACCGGCTCGGATTACACTCTCTACCCGTTCAGCACGTTGAATTATTCGGATTATCGCAATCTGCAGCGGATTTATTTGGATGCGGTTTTCAACCCCATCATAAGCAAGCCGGATTTCATGCAGGAAGGATGGCGATTGGAGAATCGCGACGCTAAAGACCCCAAATCCGAGCTGATGATCAAAGGGGTGGTCTACAATGAGATGAAGGGGGTGTTCTCGGAGAACGAGAATATTTTTTGCCAAAAGCTGCAGAATTTGATCCTCCCCGACCATACCTATGGGATAGTATCTGGTGGGGACCCAATGGTGATACCCAACCTGACCTGGAATGGATTGCGGCAGTTTCATAAGGAGCATTACCATCCTAGTAACTGTAGGTGCTTCTCCTATGGCAACTTCCCCCTGTTGCCGTCGCTGGAATATATCAACGAAAAGTACTTTTCGCAGTACGCCTACTCCCAGCCTACCAACACAGTGGTGCCCCGGCAGAAGCGATGGTCGGAGCCTAAACGGGAGCACATCTCCTGCAGGTTCGACCCGATGGGGGAACCCTTTGAAAAGCAAAACTCCATCGCTATCTCTTTGCTGGTTTCCGATTGTACTGATGTGTATGAGACTTTCCTCATGCAATTCCTAACCGAGCTGTTGGTCAAAGGGCCCAACTCAGCTTTTTACAAGTCGTTGATCGAGCCGAACTTTTCCAGCGGTTTCACCCCGTCCACTGGCTTGGACGCCCAATCCAGAGACACCGTTTTTACGGTTAGTTTAAAGGGGATCAGAACCGACGATTTCGCACGAGTTGAGGATGTGTTCAATGCCACTATCGACGAGGTGATTGCCAAAGGCTTCAGCCCGGAGCTTGTTGAGTCAGTTTTGCATAGCTACGAGCTGTCGCTGAAGCACGAATCGAAAAACTTCGGCCTGAACCTGCTGTTTGGGCTGTCGGCCATCTGGAACCATTCCTCCGAGATACTGGCTGCTTTGGAAGTGAATGCTCTGATGGAGAAGTTGCGGGCGGCGATGAAGAACAACCCGAAGTACCTGCAGGATACTGTGCAGAAGTGCTTTAAGGATAACAAGCACAAGTTGATATTAACCATGTCGCCTGATAAGGAGTTCGACTCGAAGCTGAGCAACGAGGAAAGTGAGCTGATCAGGCACAAGACCAAGAACTTGGGGGAGAAGGACAAGGAGGCGATTTTCGCCAAGGGCTTGGAGCTGCAAAAGCTGCAGGAAACGCCGCAGAACACCGATATTCTGCCCACTTTGCTCATGAACGACATCAATTCCAGCATAGAAAAGGTGAACAAAGTGAACGTGAGCATCAGCCACGTGTCCACACAGATCAACAAAGTCAACTCCAATGGGTTGGTTTACTTCAAGTCCATGCTCAACACCAGCGATTTGTCCCAAGAGCAGCAGATGCTCCTGCCGCTGTTCTGCTACATTATCAACAAAATGGGCACCGACAAGCTCAACTATAAGGAATTCGACAGTCTGGTCAATAGAAGAACTGCTGGATTGAAGTTCAACGTTCACATCGCTGATAGTTTGTATCATCTTCATACTTATGAACCGGCGGTTTTGCTGTCTAGCTACTCTTTGGAGAAGAATGTTGATAGCATGTGGGACTTGTGGGTTCAGCTGTTTAATATCACTAAACTGGAAGACGTTGAAAGGTTAGTTCTTGCTCCTGGTTTATAGAGCATCCGAACCCATTTCTGTTTTTAGGTTTAAAATGCTGAGTCAGCTGTATATGGCAAACCTAACGCATGGAATCGCGGATTCCGGCCATATTTACGCCATGCAAACCGCTGCGAGCCTGGTTTCGGGTTCCGCCTATCAAGTGGAGCTTTTGTCGGGCCTGCAGCACATTTCTTACATGAAAAGACTGATCCATACCTCCAATTACCAAGCGATGTTAGCGGAGATTCTTGACATTGGAAAACTGCTGTTCGACAAGAAGAAAATGAGGTATAGGCTGGGATTTTCGTTATTTATGCCTTATTGTCTCCTTAACGTTTTCTTGTGCTTTCAGGGTGGCCTTGAATATATCGGAAGACTCCCAGTCGAATATTCTGCACTCCTACGAAAACTTCATCAATGGCCTGCCCGACAGCGACAAGATTCCTGGCCAAGAGGAATCTCAGGAAAACTCCTATGTAGTCGGCAAAATTTGGTCGCCATCTGACTCAGTCAATTGCCAGCACCACATTCTGAACATCCCGGTTAACTACTGCAGCAAAGCCGTCCTAACTACGCCCTACACGAAAACGGACCATGCTGCCCTGAAAGTGCTGGCAAAGTGGCTGTCTGCCAAATATCTCCATCCAGAGTTGCGGGAAAAACGGGGCGCTTATGGGGCAGGCGCTCGCATAACCCTCGACGGCGTCCTGTCCTTTTTCAGCTACAGGGATCCCAAAACCGCCGATACTCTGGATGTTTTCGATGGCTCCTACGACTGGATCAAAAGCAACTTAAAAGACCTGAAGCCGCAGGATTTGGTCGAGGCCAAGTTGGGCGTGTTTCAGAGTGTGGATGCTCCAGTGCCCCCCAGCCTGAAAGGTTGCGATGACTTCCTGAAGCGGCTCACCCCAGATGCGCTGCAACGGCACAGAGCGGAGATAATGGCCGTAGAAAAGACCAATCTGGAGGCTGCAGCCGAAACATATTTGGGCGACTCGAATGCTTTGAATAGCGGCAAAGTCATCTTGGGGCCGAAGAATGAGGCCTGCGATCTGTCGCA